AGACAACCCCGTAACAATATGCGTTTTGTACTGCTGTTACACAGCACAAAACGCATAAAAATGGAATTTTTCGTCGAACGGTCGTTTTTGAAAACTGTAACTACAACGCACAAGGCTTTTCTTACCTCCCGAGTTGGCGTTTTTTCCGCCTAAATACTTATGTTTTCACATATGCGGCCTAGGCGGTTCTAAGGAGCTGAATTTGAAACTCTCCAGTCGTACATGAGTAAGGTGCACTCCTTTAAAATTTCAGTTTTACAGCTCTGCCCGCTCGCGAATCAGCGATTTTCACACCAAAATTTTAAAGTACTCGTGCGTGAAACCTGAACGTTCATGGTAGCTGATATCACGCTCCTGGCTGTGAAACACACTGGCGATATTTCAGCATTAATACTGTGGTTGCTGAATAGAAATACCTGGGCTGACGAATACAGACCCATACACATAGACACACACATACCAGGGTCATCACAATATGCGTTGTAACATTTGTATACACGCAAAAATGCATAATAAAAAATTTTTTGAACAATCACAAAGAATATGGTTTATCCTAATTTTGAAGTTTGTCCCAGTTCTTCTGAAAAATGCATAAATGATTAAAGAAAGGATGTCCAGTATCTAAAGGTAGGCGTGGAAAAAATAAGAGAAATAAAAATAACGTGCAATAGTGGCAATAATAACAATAATAATAGTATGCAAAGACTTGCACTCTCTATGAAAGACGAGAGCATTTGGAAGCATTTCTGTCAGTGGCACCGTACAGGCTGTCAACAGCTCCCCTCTTACGGGGGCTGCTTAGAAGCAAGTTAGTGGCGGGTTTGACTTTCCGGCATGCCAGCACCATTTAACGCTAAAGCAAACAGGAGATTCTAAAGGGGATTGGTTGTCTCTGCGATGGAATCAAAATCTCGGCCTTCAGTACGACAGCGGTAGTATTCCTCATTGCACCGTGCCTGCAGATTACGAAAGTATGCTAGCTTTGGATAAAATATGGAGAGTATGAATTAAGGGGAAGTAAAGTAAGTATAAATTAGTTCCGGATAAAACCCTTTGCAAGAAGATTTGAATTATGCAGCTTTTTTCGAGTAAAAAGGTGAGTAAAATCGAACAAGTACTAATAAAAAAACAACTGCTTCTTAACCATTTTGCAGCTCGCGAGCCCAATCGATTTGAAGAATCAGGTACAGGAAAATGCAGCCAACGGCACTGATAGCCACCGGCTACTTCCGGAAGGATATTGGGCGACATCAGCTACGGTAAGCAAAAGCATTGAATACGCGGGCCACAGACAAAATAGAACTGTCGATAGACACTCACTCATATGCAGTTTTACTGTGGTAAAGTTTTCTCTGCTATTTCACGGTTGAGGAATTGCTTAAGGAAACACACTGGTGGGAAGCCATACAAGTGCATACAATGTGATTGGAACATTTACGGGTGCATTGTAAAAGTAAATGACCCCACGAGACGTTTAGGCCCTGTGGGCGAAAGGAAGTAGGAACCAGTAAGGGCTGCACGGGTACTGGATGACTCTGAATAAGCCGTCCATAAGACGGCGTCGATTCAAAATTCAGCGACCGTTTAATTCGATTGGGAGGGGAGGGAAGTAAAATAAGGTAAAGAAGATGGTAGCGTTGCACATGTTCAAAAACGGTGTGTCATGTGAAGAGGACATGTGAAGAGGTGTATGTGGAAAGGAGCTTGCCTGTGTTTCATCCCTAAGCTGTAAACACAGACAGCGGGAGACGTGACTAGGAGTGGGAATCATCAGTCATCAGTACAGCTCCCTAACCACTATGTTTCAATGAAAATAGCGTGGACGCGTGATGAGTTAGGATAATAAAAACATGCAAAAAAAGGAAAAGAAAGAAAAAGTCAAAACTAACATGGATTGCGAAATTGTCTGCGGATTTCCCTTGCGTTGCCATACTAAAAATAATGTCAATAAGGAATGTGAGAATGTTATATCGGACTAACGCCAGATAGTATCAACGCACAGATCACATTAATCCCGTGATCATTACAATATGGGTATTTAGCAAGGTTAGCGGTGTACCTATATTAACGGTGTACCTAAAACTCATACCGGTGAAAAGCCGTTCGACTGTGGCCATTGCAATTCGAACTTCAGCCATAAAATAATTGGCCAACGCACGGCCTGCCTGCGCGAAGATGCGTTTTTTCCATGGTTCCCCACACTTC